TTCTAATAAAATCAAAATAGTGTGATGACAACTCTGATGCAGATATATATAAAAATGAATTTAAAATATTTTAATTCTTTATTTATTACACATAAATATTAAAATAAACTGAATAACAATCTTTATTTTAACTGCAAAATCTCAGATCATTTTGTCAGTGATTGCTGTAAGTTGAAGAAAGAAAGAAATTGAAGAGATATTTTTTTAAAAATGACTTCTTTTCTGACAAATGTATTCACTGAAGATAAAAAGGAAAAATTTAAGAAGAATTGATGTAAGAGATGGGCTACAAGAGTAATTACAAGAGTAGTGTGAAGTACGCACAAAGGATATTAAGAAGGTAGCAATCTCTATTGTTCAAAGCTAATCGCTGATCTCCTAAAATCCACGGATATCAGCGAGCATTATATAGATAATATTGCCATCGCCACGTATCTATCGCCACGTATCTATCGCCACGTATCTATTTCCTAATATAAATATCTCCGTTGCGCCTATTACAACAACATTCATCAACAGATTTTCAAATCTATCATTATTAGAATTGATTTTACAGACTGTGAAATCTACTCTATTAATTATGAAATAGTACTCAATTGATTGAAATCTCACACTTTACAGAATGGCTCAGATTTGTTTGTGTATGATGGAAATAATGAAAAACATAATCAATTTACTCTATCATTCACAAATTAATTGTCAACTGCTTTCTCTCAGTTAATATTCTCTGACACAATCATGAAACTACATCATCAAATTGATGCTGCAGAGAAGGCTATACAAAATGTGAAGAACACTCTTACATTTAATTTAATCAGACAATTGAATAAGATATTCAAAGATAATATAATGCAGACAAAACTGAACATGCACTGAAAAGAGAAATTAACTGATCATTATCAAATGAATAGATATCAGATTATCAAAAGCACATGCAGACAGATGCAAATAGATGAAATTCTCATTATAAAGAATGCAAATTGCAAGATTGCAAATCAGAAGGCAGAGGAGTTGAAAAAGGAGTATAATAAAACTCTTCAGATGATTGAAATCAAGCTTATTAGAACTGTTGCAAATCAATTACAATGTGATAAATTTAATAAATTTCAATCTGCTGCAGATTCTACTGCTTCTACTGAGTATATAGATGATCTTTATATTATAGATAGATGTGGTGTTGAATAATAATGATATTTTGAAGTTCAGATGATTCAAAAATATTACTGTTGCAGTGTTATTACCTTTGCAATGGGGCGCACTCACTAATGGGAGGTAGTGAGTGCGCTTGGCACGGTTAGTCTGTAAGATGGGGGTGCGGACACCCGATCCCATTTTCAATGCTGTTTCAAGCTCATTCCTGGCCAGGTGACACAAAACTTTACTATCTACAAGTTATCAATACCCAAGCATCATTGTAGAATGATTATACTCTACTTAAAAATCATTGAGATGCAAGTCACATTTTTGCATACATCGACATCCAATCATTTCATCCACAGAATGAAGAAACTTTTGACCCCCTATGATTCTTAGAGACTTCGCTTCCCTCCGTCTAATTAAGATATTTCCGCTTCATAGCTGCCTCGCCATGGGTATGGGAAATCTCTTTCACCTGTTCTTGACCTCTTCCAATTCTAATAGGCAATGATGGTGGTACTGCCAATGTCTAATAAAAGATGGATACTTTATCAACTGTTGTTTCTTAAACCTCTTCAGCCACGGCCTCATTACTTTCAATTACATCTTACCTCATACCTTTGCTCGATGTTACTGCTTATTTTCTTTCCAAACCTGTATGTGTAAGTTCTTGCTGCTCGCCCCCCCCACC